GTTGGGCTCTTTTTGGCATCAAGACAATTATTCTTATTGCCACATTGCCAGACAGGACACTGTTAAAAAAAAAAAAAAAAACATAGAGGAAAACAAAAAAATTCCTCAGTTTTGTTTGTTTGTCTGGTTACCTGCCAAAGTGACAGATAGGTAGATTATATATCAGTTATATCAGATTAGTATGTGGTGGTGCCAATTTCACGCCCTGATTGCATAATTTGTTATATCATTTTTCATGTTTCTGCAACAATTTAAATATGTTTCTTACCTTAACCCTTTTGAAATTGGCAAAATTGCTTTTAAAAACATCAAATGTGGTCAACAAATTAGAGGCAGGGACATTAGAAGTCCTTCTAATCTAAGATATATATCCGATTATAGATCAGATACATAGTGACCCCCAAGTAGATTTTTTTTTTCACTACACATGTTTGTTTTTAAAAATCTGTTTTTGATGAAACTAACTATCACATCACATCTTTGTCATTACTTTAAGCTTATTTTTTTTATATTAATGTATCTTAACATAATTCATTATTGTTGTTCATATTCTCTTTTTTTAGTGCTAGAATAGCAATTTACTGCAGTTTCAAGTTAGTGCCTTGGCTGTTGTGCAGATATCTTCAAAAAGTGTCATCAATCTCAATAGAAAAATTATCTGGTATATAACTTGATCCTTTTTTTAATGTAGCTGTTTCAATAACTATAATTTTTATGCTACTATTGTGGTTATTATTCTAATGAAGTACCAGGGGTATTGTGCGGACTGCTACATGGTTGGTACAGTTTTTCCAGAATTTATAAGCTGAAGATACAAATTTACCTCGCAGCTATAAAGAATCTTTAATATGAGGAAAGTGGTTAGCATAGACACAGATACCTGATTTTACCAGCCCAATTAACACACCTCTTAAGACAGGGCAATACTCACCATGATGAGTGGGAACCCCTATGGTGGGCAATCATACATTAGTCATATATGTACTATGATGCTTCAATATGTTGCATATTTACACTTGCTTAAGTATTTATTGTTACTGTTTCGATACACAAAACATGATCGATCATTGTGAGATGTCTGAGACTCTTTAATCCAAAAATATTTTGCTAATGACTCAAATTACTCCTTTTGTGTTTGTTGCACAGATACATCACTATATTCCACGCTCTACGATACCACAACATCATGACAATGCAGCGGACTGGAGCTATCTTGGGGCTCATCTGGACTTTATGTGCAGTGCTAGCTGTACTAATGGTGAAATTCTCAGACTCCTATTTCATCATAATTTGCTTCATTGTCTTCTTCATCATCTCCCTGGCAGCTATCTGCTTCCTTTATGTCTACATGTTCATGATGGCCCGCATTCATGCCAGGAACATTGCAGCTCTACCTGGTTGTGGCAGGGACAAATCTCAGCATAAGAGGAGGTGGGGCAGTAATATGAGAGGGGCTCTCACTCTCACCATTCTGTTTGGGGCATTTGTAGTGTGTTGGGCGCCATTTTTCGTCCATCTTATTATCATCATGGTATGTCCTTTGAATCCATATTGCGAATGCTACAGATCCTTGTTTCAACTTCATGTGGTGCTGATGATGAGCCACGCCCTTATAGACCCAGCGATCTATGCCTTCCGCATGGCTGAACTTAGGCACACTTTCAGAAAGAGGTTGTTTTGTTTAAAATGGAAATTGTAATTTTAAAGACATTTTTACAGGCACAAATATTAAATACTTTTATTCATGGAACAAGATTAACTTTTAGTCATGCACAGGATTGTTTAAGCATTGGTATTGCAATAATCTGAAAGGAACAGCATGAAGAAAATAATTGAATTTATGCAGAGGATTGGTTGGGACTAATGGCCCTGCCAACACTAAAATAAAATAATGCAACATGTCATGATCTGCCCTGATAGTGAGCCTTAATTCTTCACTACATTCACCTGCCTAACTCTGCCCAGTTCCAATCATTGTTCATCTTATCCACCTGGGTCTGGTGCTTCATATACAGCTCAGCCCAGCTATCGGGGCCAGATCATTGTTTTCTGTTTGATGTCTGTATGTTCTGTTTCGTTAGTTTGAGATCTGACAGAATGATCTGGCCACAAAGGGACCCATTGGAAGACAGTCATTAGGATTATGATTATTAGTATTTTTTTCCCCGGCTTGAGTCTGGCATGTGGGAAATTCTTTAATTGTTCAATTCATTCACCTGCCTAAATCTGCCCGGTTCCTAATCATTGTTCATCTTATCCACCTGGTGCGGCCTAGCTATTTTGTTTGTTTTACTTCTGTTACATACAGACAGATGGACCCAGTATTCAAGGTGAGACAGACAGTGGGAAAGTTCAAAACATTTATTAAATAGCAAACAGCACAGATACGCAGAGCTGCTATGGATCTATGGACGGCAGCAGCTGGGGGGGGGGGACACTACCCAATCACTGAAACTCTGGAGGGAGAAACACAGGTAAGTGAGCATGATATTCTGACAGGTGATGATTATCTGAGTGTGTAACTAAACAGATCAGTCCATCTTCTCCATGGACTGCCAAATGAGATGTAGTGGCAGCTGCCCAGAGCAGTAACCTCAGTGAGCAGGCTTGGTGAGAGATCTGAAATGCTCTCACCACTAGCTAGTGAATAAACTTGCCTGAAGAAACTGGCTTGTCTCACTGGGCAGAACCTTATATATATAGCAGAAGTAGCAGGTGAATAAGATGAATGATAATTACAGAGCGATGCGGGAACAGCAGGTGGATAAAGGAGTAATCAAGGTCAGCTATCAGGGCATATCATGACAGCAACCATCTTTGGCATTTATTTAATGATATTTAGTAACAATTTTGTTAATGTAACTAAATATGATTAAGTAAATACCAAAAACAGTTGCATTTTTTTTTTCAAACACAGTGGATGAAAAGATAAACTTCACCAAAGTAGTGTTGCTGAGGTTTCTGTTGCTGCTTTGGTATTCACTTCTTCACGAAGAGAGTTAGACCTTGTCACAACCCTTTGTCCTTGGATAGCTTTTTTTTGGGTTTGTTTTACTAATGTATCCTATCCTTTCTATTTGCTTTTGGTATTCTAATAACCCACATAAATTCACACTGAAACTGAGACAATCTAGGCATTGGTAAAGGCCCTGTGTCAGGTAGTTGCACCTATGCCTGGGTATGCTTCTTTGGTCAATCTTAGAGTGTGGTATTGGGTTCACATCCTTGCAGAAACTGTATGTGTCAGGGTTCCTGTGTGTGAGTGAGTGTGAGTTAAGTATCTTTTCCAGAGACGATCTTTTTGGAGAACCTGGGTAGCCTACACAGGTGAGGATAATCTTCCTCATCGGAGTGCTGGGCTTAAAAGAGCAGCAAAGCCTTCACTCATAATTGGTTTGTTGTGTTGTTGATGTTTCGTTGCTTTCTAGTCTCTTGCTTCCTTGGAGTATTTTCCCTGACTGATTGTTTTTTTTTTTTTTTTTTTTAGTATTCTTGTATTTTGGATGTTTGCCTCTGTTCCCCTTGGGCTTTCATTAAATCATCAAAAACTCATCTGTGCCAACTCCTCTCTCTATCTGGGTCCTCAAAGCTTCCACACAACCTGACAATATGTTTGAAGTGTTCCCCAGGCCAGGTGTTATAGACCTGAAGCTGTATATGGACTGTAATAATAAATAATTATACATTTTGTTTATAATTAACAAACCTTAATAAAATATTATTTTGTCTCACTTCTAATGTTCTAGTCATGCATCAATACAAACAAATATTTTCTAGAGACATGAAGTTTTGAACAAAGATTTGTTTGGTTGAACATAAATTACAGTTCAAATGTAACTGTAAATGTAGGTTAATCATTGTATTTTGTTTCTTTATCTCGTTTTTATTTTCAAATCTGTAAATAAAAATCTATAAATCTTTTAAAAAATAGCTTAGATAACTTATGATTAGTAAAAACTTTAAAAAGCAGGTTTACACTTTAAATGTGGGAGCTGTTATTCAAATTCTTAAAAAGCAGTGAGTAACAAATCAGATCAACTAATATTGGTTTATTACATCTTATATAAAATAATGAGCGCAGCATATATTCACAGTCATAAGCATTTTTCTTAAACCATTGTTATATTTAATTAGCTGTTGTTTACAATGAATTAATGAATAACTTTATTTCAGACAATCCAGTAAAGTTACATATTAAAAAAAATGCAAACAAAATGTATAATTATATGTACATACATATATATATATATATAT